CTACCCATAGGTATATCATTCTGCATTTCAGAACATACAACAGTCACATGACTGGATTTTTCACAGTTCAAATATTTGGGGGGGATTTGCCCTGTATAATTAAATTTTTCCTTGGAAGGTCGTTGTAATCCATGGCATCTGTCCCTCTTCAATATATACATCACCACAAAGGCGTTGTGGAAATCTTAGTAATCTTCCTGAGCATCTGTGCTTTTGGAAGTGGCTGGATAAAGAAGAAAAGGGCAAACATTTTGTTAAACATGAAAATAAGCAGTGCTATTTCACAAGCTAATTTTTGAATAGCGCCTTAATGTGAACAAGTGGTATAATACATTTGTGATGGAGAATTGGGAGGCTGGGATTGCTCACATGGCTGGCAGAACATTATCTCCCTAGACACTTCAGTGAGTCACTAATAAGGCAGACATTATAACAGCTGGTCGAATGTTTATATGTATATTACAGGTGGGGAATACCATTCTGCTGTTGGCCCGCTTTTCTTTTTGGCGGCCTACTTCTGCCCCCCTCCCTGCCAATAGCCCCCAAGGAGCGGCCAAACATTCCTCCAGAGTAAAGTCCCCTTGCACATCTGAGGAAGTGAATTTTTGGTACAGCATCAGCCAGCTGGTTATCTGTAGGGTTTTGAAGTTTAATGACAGACACATATGTTCTGCAAATAAAATGGTCTTCTAATTCAACTTGTTAGAACACGATATTTCTCTTGTCACACCTGGCCAACATAAGTGAAATGTAGCATGTAAAAACCAAGCAGTTGCTCTTCACATGTCCGAAACCCACTTTGCATCTCTCTACTGATTCAAAGCATTTCTTGGTTGGTTTATAATCTGCATTTCTTTGCCTGGCTGAATAATTAGTTTTATATCCACTCCCATCTAGTAATTCCTGCCAAACCCTGTTTCTCCTTTTCTCTGCATGAAAGCTCCCCAGATATGTGGAATCACAAGAACTGGAGTTTGCATCAGTGGTTGTATGTATTCCCGTGCTTTTTCTTGACCAGTTTACCAGGCCATATACATAATGATATGAACGTCAGACTTTTTGTTTGAAACTGAACAGCTGTGGAAAGAACGCATACAAACAATATAAAATTCTATGCCTGGGTGTTTTCTTTCTTCTAAACAAAATCAAAGTTTTATGTTTGCTGAGATCTTTTTCCTTTTTCATGCTCATAACTGGGCGTGCAATGTCAAAACTGTGAAGGATTCAAACTGCTAGATGTATTGAATACTGTATACTGTTCTCTGACTTGGCAGGTATCCTGAACTGAGAGAGCATGTGAGGGTGGTTGCGGTGTGTGTGTGTGTTGCAGTTTTAACTGGAAAATTGTAGTCGGCCAAATCGTGTGCAGTGTCTCCAGAAAACAAGAACAAGCACTTCAGATAGACTGTCATGGTTTAATATATCCAAATATATGCACCTCCAAAAATCTTTTGGCTTCTTTCCCTGTTCTGTTACATCGTTTATTGCGGTTTTGCTCTTGGCAGACCCCTTCATGGCATTTGTCACTCTGCTTTACAAAATTCTCAAATTACCAGAGAATTACTTTAGGAGTTAAATCATTTTATTATTACTTTCTCTTTTTTTAGGGTAATAGAGGAGCTCAGGTTACGTGGCACTGAGCAAGTAATTCCGCATGACATCATTTTGGAAAACTGCTTTCATGTACTAGGAAAAAGCCCTTGATTGTAATAGGAAGGAGAGGCTGTGGGTCTCCCAGCTAATGCCAGCATACCATGAAAGAAGACAGTGCAGCAGAGAATGTGAAGGCAGAACTGTGGAAAAAAATCTCAGCTCTTTGATTGAAAGCTCTCCTTGTGTACATAGGAGCCACCTGGAATCCTGGGAGGTGGGAAGGCAGTGCATTCCTGCCTACTTTATTAGGAAAGGGCCATCCCTCTCCTAAATAGCTGCCAACATTGGGTATGCCTGAGTAGGTTTCGTCAAGTGTTTTTTTGATAACTGCACAGAGTCCCTAAGAAATGTGCAAAGTGATGTTCCTTTATGCAGAATTGGTTCCTTCTTACTTGCAATCAAATCAGTGATCAAAATGGTTCACAACAAAACACATTAGCAACCACAAACAATAACATATCCCCCTCTATATTAGAGAAAGTTCAGAAGATGTTCATAGAAATATATGAATCAATGGATATATTAAACGTTGAGTTTCCAGAGAATCCAAAGTGAAGCCTCTTACTTGTTAGAAGCATTAAGGGCAGGGTGTGGCAGGTGCTTTAGATCTGAAGGGCACAGAGTATTCAAGGTCTTTGAAGATGAAACTGTGTGTGACACAGCTGCACAATTGTCCTGCCCGCATAAGCTCGACAGCTGCGTTTCGGTAGCCTTAGATGAGACCTCTGGAGGTCTTCCAAATTACTAGAGTTGCAATTCTTTGTACTTTTCAACTGGGAAAAAAAAAGCTCACATAGTACACAGTGGGTCTTGCCACTCTTAGATGTCACTTTCGAATAGGAGATGATTCAACTTCATCTGCATGCATGCTGTCTTGTTCAATGCTCCCTGAGAAATAGTGCCAAAACTCCAAAACCCTAGCCATCAGGTACAATTTAGGTTTTGTTGTGGAAACATAGCATGTCTTTTGACTATAGACACTGAAATGCTCATACAGCTACCATAGGTGGCTTTGGGTACTGTGCACCTTGGCCTGGGTAAATTATTTCAGGAGGTGCTGTTTGTCACTGGCAGCAAAATGTTTTGGGATGAGTTTGATGTTTATAAGGTTCTCCCTATAGGGGATGTTCACTAAATGGATGAGAACAGGACAGCACCTGTGAGCCCAGGTGTTGACATACCTGCTTGCCTTCCAACAGCCACACATACGGCTTCCTGAGCAGACGTTTGAGATTGGAAATATGAGTTTTTTGGACTAGTGGATGGGAGATGAGGAATTCCACACACAGACACCCAGCCTACAGTTCCCGGTATATCCTAGCATGCTTGGTCAGTACCCTTGCTGGCTGGGGGATTGTGGGAATTATAGTCCAAAGAACTAATTCTCTGAAGCTCTGGAAAGGCCTTACACTTTTTATTTATTTATTTATTTATTTATTTATTTATTTATTCATTCATTCATTCATTCATTCATTCATTCATTCATTTATTTATTTATTTAATTTCTATCCTGCCCTTTTAGACAAAGTCAACTCCGGGGGGGTGCATTAAACATTGTAAACTAAAACAGTTAAAAACGTATCTACTTATCCAACTGTAAGCATATACGTCTCCTGTTAGCATCAAATGCAGAGTTATAGGAATTTGGGGGTATTTAGGTACCTGTCCAACCTCACGATGCATTTGGTATATGAATAGGGAAAGAGTGTCACAATATATCCAGATAGGTATCTTTCTGGTGCATGTATTTCGAGGCATGACTTTTGGCTGCTAGGCCATGTGTATGCTGTGTGAAATTTCCTATGTAGGTCACCTGTTTTGTGAAGTGAAGAGTTTACCTGTGGGCAGAGATACCCACTCTTGGCATGGTTCGGCCAATGAGGTCCACAAGTGTTGCTCGGGTGCCCTGGATTCCACACCCTGCCTTGTCCTACAGGTGCTCTGTCAGAAGCAGCTCCGTGGACATCCCTGTCCCACTGCCTCCTCTGAGCAGGCGCCTGTGGGAGGAGGAAGGGAATGGAATCCAGGGCACCCACACGACCACTATGGGCCTGATTGGCCAAACAGTGCCGAACCGTGGTAAGTGCCATTTCTACCTGCCAGCTAGCCTTACCATTTGATTTGTCTCTGGACTTCTCTGAGTTGCCTTCAGGAATATTTGACTGCACCACAGGACAGTGGTGGGAGCTGGCTGGAGCACCCTCTGCATGACTGCAGCTTTATATGTGACTGGCAGTATGGAAGGTGTGCATTAAAAATAGATGAAAGATTGTTGTCCAGGTTTGGGACAATACCATACAGTGTTTAATGCTATACAGTGGTGCCTCGCAAGACAAATACCTCGCAGGACAAAAAAAAACAAAAAACTGCAAGACAAATGGTTTTGGCAATGGGGTTATTTACTTGCAAGGCAAATTTGATTTTGTTCTGACTTTTTTTTGCCCATAGGAACACATTAATTAGATTTCAGTACATTCCTATGGGAAAACGCGTTTCGCAAGACGAATTTTTTGCAAGACAACATTAACTGTGGAATGAATTAAATTTGTCTTGCGAGGCACCACTGTATATGAACTAAGTACCACTTTGCAATCTGTCTTTCATTACTGTAATACTGTGGCGTCTACAACAGTCAGTGAAGGCATGGAATGTGATCTTGTCCTTTGTCACTGTAACTCAGTCATGGATGTAAAATCAAAAATAAGGTAAAGGTAAAGGTTCCCCTTTACAATTTTTGTCCAGTCGTGTCCAACTCTAGGGGGCAGTGCTCATCTCTGTTTCCAACTCATAGAGCTAGCGATTTGTCTGAAGACAATCTTCCGTGGTCACGTGGCCAGCGCGACTAGACACGGAATGCTGTTACCTTCCCACCGTGGTGGTACCTATTTATCTACTCGCATTTTGCATGCTTTCGAACCGCGAGGTTGGCGGCAGCTGGAACAAGCAGTGGGGACTCACTCCGTCATGTGGATTCGATCTTATGACGGCAGGTCTTCTGACGTTGCAGCACAGAGGCTTCTGCAGTTTAACCCGCAGCGCCACCACATCCCCAAAAATTAATACACAGAATAAATTTTATTTTATAGCTTAAATATTAAACATTTACTGTTTGGGTTAGAGATGGCTAACTTTAGAAATGCAGGAATGAATATTCATAGCTAGTAGCATTCAAACTTAATAATTCACCTGGATTGTGTGTTGTAGGTTTCTTCCGTTTAGTTGAATTTTTGAATTTATTGTAACTGAAAAGCAGTATTGATTTTCAGTACAGTTGGAGAAGGCTAGGTTTGCTTCTCTTTGTATTTTTCAATGTTGTGTACCTACTTTTTTTCCTTTATGTTTTGCAGATACTCATTTGACTCAAGATGACTCCTTTGTTTAAAACGTTACTGTTAACCTACCTGACCTGTGTGGGACAGATACAAGCAGAATTTTTCACTTCTATAGGTATGGAAAACCACAGGCAAGTTGGTAGAATGCTGCACTATAGCCCTGAGCAACCATATCTTTGAGTAGTGAAAACATAGTGCATTTCAAGAAGATTACCATCCCCCCCCCGGCAGGCACCCGGTCCCTGATCCTATTGTGGAACCCTGATGAATGTCTTTAAGAGAGAGGTGAGAAGGGATCAGAGATCTGGTCACAGACCTGTGATATCTCAGTGCACTTGGCCCTAAGGCTACAGATCCCATTGCTACAACGAATGGCTGTTCATTTTCAGTCTTTCTTTCCAAAGAGAACAACAGCACCTTGAAGATCTAAGATATCTCAACCTGAGCCTCTCTCGTATTATGTAGACCTGTCCTTGGCTAACTCACCCACCCACCGTCGGCTCGCAAGAACATAATGGGGGCCTTGGCAGCCTTGAAGGTGGAGCCAGCATAGCCTTTGGGAGCCTCCATGCCATGGTGAGGTTGCAGAGGATGATTTTGTGGAATCACAACAACATTGCACAGAAGCAATCTCTCACACTCCCTTCACAAAGATATTTTTTTATTTTCCCTCAGTGTTAAACAAAATAGTGTTGAAAAGGTAGAACAGGTGAGGTCATCTTACAGATACCTTGAAGGAGCTCACATCTGATGTGACATTAAATTGAAAGTAAAGGTTAAGTCCTTTTCTGGAGGCATTCAGACATGGCTGTATTTGGGTGGCAAGGGGCAATGTTTTCTGTTGCTAGCAGAAGAGGGAGGGAAGATGACTCATTCTTTCCTTGGGATTTGGCTACAGCATTATAATTTTGGTGAGCACATTTACCATTGTAAGCTTATTTACACATACCAGAAGTAAGCATACTGGGTGGGGAGTGGGAGCAGGGAGATATAAGATTTTTGCTAATAATCTTTGTGGGAGCTGTGCACCTGTTATGCCTTTGACAGTTTCATAGCTCAGTACTAAATCACTTTCTATTTAAAAACAAACTGTTTAAAAGGACTTCAGATTTAAGGAACTATTTTGCAGATTTTGTGATAAATATGACAGTTGCACAAGAGCAGTGAACGCTCAGGTGGGTCTTGTAAACAGTGCCCCATTCAATTTAATGATGCACATTAAGAATCAGTGGTAAAATTCATGGGCATTTTCTGTTCTGGAGGCTGTAAATATCTGCATAGTTAACCTGAGGCTCTGTAGCAGACCATATTGAGCTAAAAATTCCAGGTTTCCCTTTCATCTTCTTTGCCTTCGCTATATTACTGGCTTATATGCAGTACGATGTTTAAAGCAGTTCTGTGTTTGAAGCAATAAAAGAAAACCATAACTGAGATATCCCCTTGCTCTGTATTTGGAAGCACTGAAGTTCCTAATACAATATCTCAGATTACAGTGGATGCTTAGTTTGCCATTTTCCTGTCCAGTGTCGGTTCTCTTGTAACAAAAAAGAATAAATGGCCTTCAAAGGTGGTTTGACAGAGACAAAAACTCATGCAAGTGGGAGAAGTGATAAATAAACAATTCAGAACCCACCCAAAAATCTCTCTTTATCATTCTACATTCAAAAGTAATTCTTGTGATTATGACTAACTGGGTTCTAACTTCTTGAACATTAACTGATCTGGTGAAGATACTGTTATACATCTGTATTTTTTTAAAAAAAATTACTGTGTTGTACTTATTTAAATTTATTTTGAGGTAGCTTTCAATGTGTAGTGTGCATAATGAGAGAAAAAAGGAATGTAATAGAACAATAAAAGCAGCCAGAAAGCAGTCAAAACTCGCAGAATTCCTTAGATAAGGAGACTGTAGAAACAATCTCTGAACTTATTGGCAGAACCAGTCTTCTAGATTTAAGCAAATGCTTTTCAACCGGGTGGGGTAAACTCTGTCTTATCTAGCTCTTTGGAGACTCTTGCCCCCCTTCTCTCCATGTAGAGGGAGATCCTTTGGTTATTTTTGAGGTAATAGGAGGATCCGGCTGGAAGAACAGCTTGGTTGGCAGCTTTCAGGAGGCTTTTTTAGAGGTAAGTGAATCCTCATCCAGGCTCAGCTGCCATCACGCCTGCTCTTTTTGAGGATGGGAGGAAGGAACCAAGCCAGTTTTGCAGCTGAAACACTGGCTGGAAAAATTCCACCCGCTGGAGACTTGCTGATGTCATTTGGCCCACACAGGGCTCCAAGGTTGGGAATCTAGCATCAGAACTTTTAGCCAGTTGTGTATTTCTTTTCCTCACAGAGAAGGATATCCTCTTAATGTTTGCTAACATATGATTTTCTTCTAACAAAGGCCAGATGACAGACCTGATCTATGCAGAAAAAGATCTGGTCCAATCGTTGAAGACATACATTCAAGAAGAAGAATCGAAGCTTGCTAAAATTAAAAGGTAAAAGGAAAATACTCTTTTCTGAGTTTAATGCGGTAAATCTGATTTTTCACTGTTTATATTGTCTTTTGTCAATGCTGCAAAGGTGTATAAACTTACCTGACGTTATACCCCACTGAATGGGTGGATTTGATGGCCTTATAGACAGTTTCCAACTCCCATTTTTCTATATTTCTATGATTTCTCATGGCCTAGTGGTTAAACTGCAGTACTGCAGCCAAAACTCTGCTCATGACCCAGATTCAATCCTAGGTAGCTGACTCAAGGTTCGCTCAGCCTTCCATCCTTCTGAGGTCTCTAAACTGAGTACCCAGCTTGTTCTGGAGGGCTGTGTAGCCCACATGATTAAATTCTAAACTGCCCAGAGAGTGCTTTAAGCACTATAGGCTGTATATAAGGAGCACATTTGTTTTGCTTTGCTCTCATACCTTTTGCACGCTGTGGAGCAGAGAATCCGTGATGACCAGAAGAAAAAGTGAGAGATATTTATATTCTCCAAGTATATACAGTGGTGCCTCGACTTACGAACGTCCCGAGTTACGACCAATTCGAATTACGACCAGCTCTGGCCGCAAAATTTTGCTTTGACTTGTGACTGGAAGCTTTGAGTTATGATCAGAAAAAAGGTGGGGGGAAAAGGCGGGGAATTTAAATTACTAACTGTTGGTCGGTGAAGAGGCTGCTTCTTTGTAGCTCTTTTGCCCCAAGGGTTAGAGAGAGTGTGTCAGAAGAGGCTTTGGACTGCCTGGTGCTGCTTTCTGCTTTTTAAAATGCCTGTTCTGAGTGAGTACAGGGTTTTGCAGCGTGGGTTTGGGCTGGGGGTGTATGTTTCTGTGCTGTGATTTTTTTGGTTTTTTGGTGTCGGTTTTTTTTTCAGCCCAAGCGAGTTCCGATGGGGCTTGCTGTGTTGTTGGTTTTTTTGTGTGATTTTTTTTCAGCCCCAGCTCGTTGTGATGGGGCCTGCTGTGTTTTGTTTTTTTATTATTATATTTTTCAGCCCCAAAGTGTTCCGATGGGGCTTGGAATCCCCCCGCCCCAGCCAGAATGGATGAATGGGGTTTCAATGCATTCCTGTGGGAAATGGTGCTTTGACTTATGATCAGTTCGAGTTACGACCATCTTCTGGAACGGATTAAGTTCATAAGTCGAGGCACCACTGTATTGTTTAATTATTGCTTTCATGCAGTAATGCTCAAGAGATACCATACCAAATAGGCCTGAGAAACTGTTCCATCCTTCAATATTATCAGTCGTGTAGGAGATACTCTGGCACCCAGGATAGACTGCGGATGGAGCCCATCGAGAGTATTAAAGGAACCAGGTGTAGTCAAGAGTAGACAAACCTCAGAGTTATGAAATTTACCTCATTTTTTTTTTCATTAGAACCTTGAGGTTCACCAGCTAAATGTAAAATGCTTTTCTTGGGCAAGTGCACCTATGCTGAGGATTAAGGAATAACATATTCCTAACCACATGCTCAGCTCAGGTATTTATTCCAAGCAGTGCCAGAATTGGATTTCTAGCTATTTTAAGACAAAAACCCACTCTTGCCATTCATTTTTTCCTTATTATTTTCACTGATGAAAATCAGGAAGAAAAACTCCTCAACTGTTGCTATTATGACACAACTGGAGGCCTGTATCGGTCCCCCTGAAATGTAAGAGAAGACCATATAGCTTCTGCCACCATTGGCTCCAGTCCCAGTCGACATTTTAGCACTCAATCTTATCAGCTGCTGCTTTGGTGCAATGTCTTCATGATTGTGCTGAAATAAAAAAAGTAATAATTATAAATAAACAAAATAATTTGCACTGTAACAAGTCGCTTTACATTTCGAAAGTGCCGGAGAAATTGTAGAGTGAAAGTGATTATGTTATTAACCTAAAAAAGAAAAGAGGTACAATATATGCCAAAATGTGTCAAAAAAGGGGCAGGAAAGTTAACTGAGGTTTTCATTTTAATATAATGTTACTCTTTCAGGGATGATAGGGTTAAAAAAATCAAGAGGATAGTTTTCCAAAACTGAGACATATGCTTTCATTTTTTAGTTGGGCTGAGAAAATGGAATCCCTAACTTTCAAGTCCACTTCAGATCCCGAAGGTTATCTTGCACACCCAGTCAATGCTTACAAGCTGGTGAAGCGTCTAAACACAGAATGGCTCAAGCTAGAGAATCTGGTTCTCGAGGACACAACTAAGGGTAAGGATCTTAAGAAAGCCAATTATATATAATTTCTAATATTAGATAGTGTGATGCAACTGGAGTATTGCGTACAGTTCTGGTCACCACACCTCAAAAAAAGACATAATGGAACTGGAAAAGGTGCAGAAGAGAGCGACTAAAATGATGGCTAGGCAGGGACACCTCCCTTATGAGGAAAGGCTACAGCGTTTGGGGCTCTTTAGTCTAGAGAAAAGGCGCCTGAGGGGGGACGTGATTGAGACATATACAATTATGCAGGGGATGGATACCATGGATAGAGGGAAGCTCTTTCCCCTCTCATGCAGTATCAGAACCAGGGGTCATCCATTCAAATTGAGTGTTGGGAGAGTGAGAACAGACAAAAGAAAATCTTTACCCAGCGTGTTGTTAGTCTGTGGAACTCCTTGCCACAGGATGTGGTGGTGGCATCTGGCCTAGATGCCTTCAAAAGGGGATTGACAGATTCCTGGAGGAAAAGTCCACAGCAGATTACAAGCCATGGTGGGGATGTATAATTTCCAGGCTTCAAAAGAAGGTACTTCAAAATGCGAGGTGTGTGTGGGGGGGTATCAGGAGACAGATATCTAGTCTTGTGTGCTCCCCAAAGCATTCAGTGGGGCCACTGTGGGATACAGGAAGCTGGACTAGATGGGCCGTTGGCCTGATCCTATCAGGGCTCTTCTTATGTTCTGAACTTTGTCAGGCAGCAGATGCTGCTGGTTGAAGAGTGAAGGAAGGTGGGCAGTGAGGTCTTAAAGAGCAGAAGCATTGTGTACAATTGTGTACCATGCTGCTGCTCCATGCACTTAAAGCTAGCCTACGCCTGTCAGGTGTGGTGTAGTGGAGAATTCTGCTCAGTTAGTTATGTAATTAATTCTACTCCGAACTCAGTTGAGTTCAGTCTGATATATTGGGATTTATGGAAGCATTTTATTCTTTCTTAGGCAACAAAGTGCCTAGAACCAGCCCTGGCTAGGAAGTGCTATCTGTTCAGAGTTGTCCTCAAAACTTGTTGCTTGGCCACCTGGCAAACCACCCACAACTGGCCCCTGTGAACAGGAGTGGCAACTTGATCAAGTCTCGTTCTCAGGGGTAGAAAAAGGTTTCACAAATCTATGAACTAAATAAGTCAGAAATACTCAAGGAATAAGCTCTGTGGCATAGCAATAAGCCCATAAAGTATGCATTTCTTCAGTATTCCCTCTACCATCCTATGTATCTCAATATGCTTATGATACCAAACATGAGATTTCACACGAATCTCCCTTCCTCTTTTCCAAATAAGTTCTTGGAGCATACAAGTTGCCATTGGAGAGTCAGTGCAGTGTAATCATTAGATCAGTGGTTGGAACTTGGGAGAGCTGAGTTCTAGTCCCCACTGAGCCATGGAATATGAGGCCAGTCACTGTTTGCCCTCCTCTCTACTTCACAGCTTGCTTTGGGGATAAAATGGGGTGGAGGAGGGGCTTGTATGTCACTTGGGGCTCACTGGACATATAGGAAGGTATAAATTTAACAAATATGAAATGACAGAAACATCAACAGGAGCATGAGGCATCTGCATGGATCGCTGTATTTTTTGGGGGGGGCGAGGATAAAAATGTTTTGGATGCTTTTCATGCTATGCTTTATTTAATGACAGTAATGCATGAGGATTTTAATTCTGCTGTCCAGATGTGAATTACAGTGGTTCTTTACTTTGCAGAATAAAGAAGTTGTAGTCAACTGTATTTTCAAATGCACTATTAAGACCGACCATCTGTGACTATACTTTTTGAGGTTTTTCTTTTAGAAATGTTCCTTATCTTTCTTGCAAATCAGGTTTTTTCCAAAAAGAAAAAGATGTGTGGGGTTTTGTTGTTGTTGTTTTTTAAGCACTTGAGTACCAAGGAGGAAATTCAGTTTCTCAGAAATCAACCACATAAGGGTTTGGGAGAGCCGGTGTGTGTTTAGTGGCTTTGAAGTGTGCATTTTCAGCCAGGAATTGTAACATATGTTGCAGCAGTTTGCTGCAAGAGAGAGAGAAAAAGAACTCTTCAAGCTTTGACAGAACAGAAAAAGAAGACGACTATATTCACTAACAAAAGGGTCTGTGCTGCAAGCACTAGAATGATAGTAGAAGATAATATCACACTTACTGTTTCATGCTTCCATTGCTTTTAGGTTTATTGGCCATATGTAAGTACTGGGAGTGCAGCCAGGCTTATCCCATGACCTTCTCTGAAATGACTTGAGGCTCTTTGCTTTCCAAGAGAGTTGTCTGTATACACTGGCTGAAATTCTGTTACTGTACTTAACATAGTAAGTTGCACTAAGTGTAGGCCTGTTGAATCAGTAAGAATTTAGTGAGTTAACCTCTCCATAAGTGCCATTGATTCCAATGAGCTTACTTTGGTTCTGACTTACTTTAGTTAATTGCAGCTAGAGTAGGCCCATTTAAATAAGTGGAATTTACAGTACTACAGTAAACAATTTGTTTGCTTTTTATATTGCCCATTTGGTAGCCAAGTCCACTCTGTGCGGTTTACAACAAGCTATGGGGTTTCAGCTACTGTTTAGTGGGTCACAGCAGTTGTGTAGGGTTATTGGGGCAGGAAGTCTAAAATATGTTCATTTACCCCCTGTTTTTGCTAATATTTGCAGTCATTAATCTATGCAGTCTGACTCAAGTTGCAACCTTTATTCTTCCAAAGTCCCAAAAGGATCTACCTATATCCTTTATCTTGTGACTGTTCTTAGTGGATCTGAATAGACATGGGAGCTTCATATTTGTCTCCCAGGCAAGACGAATACAAAGCTTGCCAGCACAGGTGTCCTGACAGTTCCCATTGGCTATGGGGAGAGGCAGGATAGCACCAGCAGGAATATATCCTTAATTGGTGTGATGTTGCTGCCACCAGGCGCATGCACTGCAAGGAACCTGGTGAGTGGACTGGGCTGGTTCTGGGGGGGCAGGGAAAGACTTCTGGGACACCTGTGCTGGACGGCTTCATATTCGTTTCCCATGTCTATATCTGAACCAATCCATCTTCTGGATTTCTAGAGCTCTAGGAGTGTTTCTAGAAAATGCTATTTGAAGCAAATAAAGGGAAACTTGGTAAAAAATCAGGATTGCTATTTTTTCCCCTTTAAGTGGGAGAGGTGTCTAAGAGGAAGTCATCCTTGGAAGATATGGCTCTAGAGCAGCTTTCTAGAAGGTGCCATTCTCCAGATGTGTTGGACTATAAGCCCCAGATGGCTGGAGTTTGATGGGAGTTCAAATCTAGGATATTGAGGGGGGGGGGGGGG